TCATAGCAAGGTAGAGATCAGACTGCTGCCTCTGTTTATAACCTCCAACCTTTGAGTACAATCATTCTCAGGTGAGTAATAAATGATAGGCTCATTAACGTCTGTAGTGATGCCTTTCGCCCCAAAAAGGGCTAAATCATGATTAGCCCTTTGTGAAGTGAAATGCATTGGAGTGGGAAGACTATATGTTGTGAAGCCTCTATTTATTGTATTAAAACTGGTTTTCAGTATCAGCATCAGTGTGAGGGTCCTTTAATGTCTTGATAAACAGAGCGGCTGAGCGGGTATGATGTGCTCCTGATGGGAGCAGAGGTTACAGGCACCAGGGATGCTCTACAAAGTGTATTGAAAACATCCTGTATAAAACGGTTAAATGCAAAAAAAAAAATAGGAAACATGTTGTTCATTGTGTCGTATGCTATGTGTGGATCTCCACAAAGCAAGTCGCAGGCAATGCATTCTAAACACTTCCTTTTTCTTTCTTGCTAAGTAGAGGTACAGTTGTGTCCAAAATTATTCAACCCCCACTGAAATTGAGTGTTTTGGCCAGTTTGACATTGCTTTTGATCATTCAGTCATCTTGCTTACATTTACATTAAAGAGGCACTTGTAGGTCAGACAAATATAACATAACAGTTATAATGAAATAACCACAAATGTCTTTTCTGTGCTCACAGCATTATCAGTTTTATTCAACCCCCAAGTGACATTCAATCTTAGTACTTAGTACAGCATCCTTTTACAGTTATAACAGCTTTTAAAACGTGAAGCATAGCTTGACACAAGTGTCTTGCAGCGATCTACGGGTATCTTCGCCCATTCTTCATGGGCAAAGGCCTCCAGTTCAGTCACATTCTTAGGCTTGCGCACTGCAACTGCTTTCTTTAAGTCCCACCAGAGGTTCTCAATCGGATTTAAGTCTGGTGACTGCGATGGCCACTCCAAAATGTTCCAGCCTTTCCTCTGCAACCATGCTCTAGTGGACTTGGAGGTATGCTTGGGATCATTGTCCTGTTGAAAGGTCCAACGTCTCCCAAGCCTCAGGTGTGTGACGGACTGCATCACGTTTCCATCCAATATCTCCTGGTACTGAAGAGAATTCATGGTACCTTGCACACGCTGAAGCTTCCCTGTACCTGCAGAAGCAAAACAGCCCCAAAGCATGATTGACCCTCCACCATGCTTCACAGTAGGCAAGGTGTTCTTTTCATCATAGGCCTTGTTCTTCCTCCTCCAAACATAGCGTTGATCCATGGGCCCAAACAGTTCTAATTTTGTTTCATCAGTCCACAGAACACTATCCCACAACTTTTGTGGTTTGTCCACATGGCTTTTGGCATACTGCAGTCGACTCTTCTTATTCTTTGGAGACAGCAAGGGGGTACGCCTGGGAGTTCTGGCACGGAGGCCTTCATTACGCAGTGTGCGTCTTATTGTCTGGGCTGAAACTTCTGTACCCACATCTGACAAATCTTTTCTCAGTTCCTCAGCAGTCACACGGGGACTTCTCTCCACTCTACGCTTCAGGTAGCGCACAGCAGTCGAAGTCAGCATCTTCTTTCTGCCACGACCAGGTAGCGTTTCAACAGTGCCCTTTGCCTTGAATTTGCGAATGATGCTTCCTAAGGTGTCTCTTGGTATGTTTAACATCTTTGCAATCTTCTTATAGCCATTGCCCTTCCTGTGAAGAGAAATCACCTCTTCTCTTGTCTTCCTGGACCATTCTCTTGCCTTCACCATGTTTGTAACCACACCAGTAAATGTCTAGAAGGAGCTGAGTATCACAGTCATTTTAAAGCTGCCTAATTGGTGCTTATTATGCTTGATTGCTGCTCGGTGACATCCACAGGTGTTTTCAATACCTGATGGAAAGCACCTGTATGAACCTCTGTTCTTCAGAGTGGTAGTCTTTAAGGGGTTGAATAATTGTGGCAATGAAGAAACCACATAAGAACCATTTACTACTGTATTACATAAAACAATTGATGTCATTTTAGTTGCATTTGGGTAGTTACAACGTCCTTGTAGGATTTGATTCTGAATACAATTCCAAATGTACACTATAGTCCCTAAACCCCTTTACAGCATTGGGGGTTGAATAATTTTGGACACAACTGTATACTCGCCTGCACACCAGCAATGCTGTGAACTCCCTGCCAGCCACTGAAATCTTTAGCTGGTCGTTTTTTGGCAGTGATCGTCATCTGTTTTCATTGGTTAGGCTGAGATGACATCATTTCCACGCATGTGAGGGAGTTCAATCATTTTGACATTGCCAAAATTGTACACTGAGCTGTGCACGGTGTGGACAGACAGGTAGAAAACTTTAATACAGAAGAGGCATAATATATCTCTACTGCATTGAAAATCCTGTCCATTCACCATTTGCACAGAAAAAGATGCCCTTATGGAGTGAAATGCCTGAAAGGAAGTGCCTAAAGAATTTAAAGTTATGATGTGACACCATTACTGCACTGTGAAACAAAAGGGGAGATGTACTAAAACTGGAGCTCTCCAAATCTGGTGCAGCTGTGCATGGTAGCCAATCAGCTTCTAACTTTAGCTTGTTCAATTAGGCTTTGACAATAAAACCTGGAAGCTGATTGGTTTCTATGCAGAACTGCACTGGATTTTGCACTCTCCAGTTTTGTAAATCTCCCCCATTGTTTTGCTGTTGTTGACTCTTAAATAAAATTATCTTAAAATGCACCATAGACAACAACCTGGCCTGAAGAAAGTAAGAAGAGTATTCCAGAAGTGCAACAAGTTTGAACGGGCTGCAGAGAGGTCAAGAGTGAAGAGGTGGTTGGAAGCCTTAAGAGAGAGAGACAATAGTTAGGGAATGGCCGGCATACACTGAAAAAGATGGCACGGTCCATGGTGGAGGTACAGGGAGGTTGCTGTGAAAGGTACTTTTTGTTCTGTTGAGGTGCAGAAGCCACTAAAGAGGGCTTTCCTCAGATGCATTGTATATTCCACCCCACCCCCCCAGTCAAGATGATCCTGATTGCTAAATAGAATAATTACAGTATATATTATAAGACTGCACAATTATCTTAACCACTTGCCATCCTGCCACAGTACATTTACTGCATAGGGCAGCATGGGCAGGCTCAGTCACGTATATATACTTGTTCACCGGACACAGCAGATCATTGTTACCGGTATCCAGTAACCGTGTATCGCGATGATTGGTCATAGTGATCACATGATAACAATGTAAACAATCTATCATGAAACCATTCATGAACAGATTGTTTATTGCTGTGATTGGCCCACAGCAATCACATGATACCTGGCTACTTGTACCATGTGATTAGCTTAGCCAGTCAGAGATCTCAATCAGAAGCAAGCTATTCATGAATGTGAAACCCCTTCATAACAGCTAATAGCTTCACTGTATAAGCAATACCAGTGTAAAAAAAAAAAGTGTAGTACAGTAGTTGTACAGTGTAACTCTGATGAAACGTAGCTACTCTGATGACAGTGGAAAAAAAAAAGAAAGCTATTTGTGTGAAAAAAATTATAAAAATGTAATTTTCATTTACATCTGATGGCCCATAGAGGGGGGTTCTTGTGCCCGCCTGTTGTCCTCCCCCCTTCCTGGAAAGTTCTAATAGACATGTAGTGACGTTTGGGCGGTCATCCTTAAATGTGAATCCCGAGTGCAAACCATGAGGCAGTGAAGGATACATGACCAGATCTGACCAGACCCATATGAGGACATCTGATGTTCTTGTCATACTACATAAAAGTGCATAAAGATTGCGTATCTGGTGAGTGTGCAGTCTATATCCCATTTTTTTCACCTCATCCACAATTTTTGTCATTGGACGTCAGAAGATCATCTGAGATCTCGCTCACATTATCACCTTGTTTGATATAGTGCATTCCCTCCACGATACCAGCCACATATTTTAGTGGCATATACATATCTGCACAGTGTCACTTTTATTGTATTTATTTACTCATATATATATATGTATGAAATTATTCATTTTATTATTCTTTTGAAATTTTTACTAGCGCTGCACCCTCTTTTATAGCACAATACCAGGTACCTGCTCCCCCCCCCAAAATGTGCCAAATGTTGCAATGGAGGGGGGGGGGGGAAGGAAAACAAGTTGAACCTCCTCTTTTGGGTGAGGCTCCACTTTATCTCACTTCCACCAAACCCAGGCTGTCATGGACACACCCTCTGGGGATAATCAAGGCAGCCTGGGCTCACCATGCTGCTGCACTAAACAGTCCTCATACGTTAGTACCGGAGGGTCTTTCTGTGTAGGAGAAAGGACTACTCACTGGCACCACTAGACTAGTAGAGAAAAGACCTGTGAAGATTTGTGGAATAAAGATATGAATGTTTTTATTATGTTTTTTTTTTAATTTGCTGTGGTGAAGGCCTTGGAGGGGCTTATGCAAACATGGTGTTCTGCTTTAAAGCTGTCTATATTGACAGATGTCATTGGAGAACCTCTTTCATCCTGTAGGAGGTTTTAACAGGACACAGTGGGTATCAGCACAGGCTCACAAATCAGTAGACATAACAAGCATACAAATAATACTTGAAAAATCAAAGATGACTATGGGCATAAACATCTTATAAAGGAAGCATCATTATTACTGAATTTGAATAGGGTTTTGTACGATGTAGAAAATTCATCAAAAACATATTTTAAGGCCAATTTAGTCTAGCACCCTTCCTGATGATGCAGAAAGACATGCTAAAATGCAATAAATCAAGCACAAGGCCAGACTGACCAGATACAAACTTTAGCAGTAGGCTCACCCTTGCTGAATTACCCATATGAATGACATAGCTTCCATGTAGCCCGCTCTACAGAAAAACAGAGTGAGGAAATAATGCTCAAAGCTTTGGGAAGTATTGAGCTGTGTTTAATTAGAATATGTTATTTCAGTATTTCTGAATTACCTCCTAGTGCATCACAGCGGCTCATGCTAGAGGCCATTGCTCAATAGTCTCATAATAAAGGTATTATGTCACATGTCCCAAAAGACTACAGGGAGGGAGAGAGGACACCTTCTGCTTCCAATCACCTAGGACCGGAAGTGGGAGTGGGTACCTGTCAAATTTGGGTACCCGCTCTCCCACCCCCACCCCCAAAAGGTGCCAATCCTTAATGGGGATTCGGGGAGCAGTCCTTAAAGTGGAACTTCCCCTTTTGGGTGGAGCTCCGCTTTAAAATACAGCTGTAAAGAGAAATGTGTGGGATGCAATTGATGATCTTCTAAATAATATTTGTCTGTACCTGCTTTTAGTACTTTTGAATTATGGACCCTAAAGAGGTAGTAGAAAAAGTTACATTCAACTCGACTTGTTCTGTAACATTAAAGACGGTTTGAATCTTATCCAAACCAGTTCTACTGAGTGTCAGGAACATATCCCTGTGCTGTTTTAACAACTTTAGCCCTATCAATCTTATAACAACTCCCACCTGAATTGAATGATTACAACCCCTGGCAAAAAGTATGGAATCACCACTCTTGGCAAATGTTCATTCATTTGTTTAATTGTGAAAAAAAAAACAATCACAGACATGCCTCAGAACTATTTTCATTTAACATTCCAACGTTCTGGCTTTAAGAAACACCTAAAACAATAAAAAAAGAAAGAAAACTATAGTCAATTGCAACTGTTTTGGCAGACTAATGCAGGCCATAGACGGGGAGAAAAACGGCCATTTTTCTTTTAAAAAAATGAAAAATCAGTCGTTCAAGCGGCCGATGTTACCACCAATGGTAAAAAAAAAATCGGCCGATTTTCATCCCGTCTACAGCCGGCAAAAAGTGTCCCTGCAGAGAGCTCTGCTATTTCTTTGACAGTTCCTTGACATTTACAGAGGTTGCAACAATGTATCTATTTGTATCCATTTAGGATACAGATGTTTTTATTCGGAAACAAATAGATACAATGTTGCAACCGCTGTAAATGTCAAGGAACTGTCAAAGAAATAGTGGAGCTCTCTGCAGAGACACTTTTTGCCGGACTGGAATTCCTCTTATTTTTCATCCTTCTTCTTCTCCTTCTTCATCATCATCCTCTTCTTCTTCTTCTATTCTTCATCATCATCATCCTCTTCTACTTCTTCGTCATCATCATCCTCTTCTTCTTTTTCGTCGTCATCATCCTCTTCTTCTTTTTCATCATCATCATCCTCTTCTTCTTTTTCATCATCATCATCCTCTTCTTCTTTTTCGTCATCATCATCCTCTTCTACTTCTTCGTCATCATCATCCTCTTCTTCTTTTTCGTCGTCATCATCCTCTCTTCTTTTTTCATCATCATCATCCTCTTCTTCTTTTTCGTCATCATCATCCTCTTCTTCTTTTTCGTCATCATCATCATCCTCTTCTTCTTCGTCATCATCATCATCATCCTCTTCTTCTTCTTCCTCTTCTTCTACTTCTTCTTCATCCTCAGCCTCTTGTTCTTCTTCGTCATCATCATCCTCTTCTTCTTCTACTTCATCATCATCATCCCCTTCTTTTTCTTCATCATCCTCGTCGTCGTCATCCTCCTCTTCTTCTTCTTCGTCATCATCCTCTTCTTCTTCGTCATCATCCTCCTCTTCTTCTTCTTCGTCATCATCCTCCTCTTCTTCTTCTTCGTCATCATCCTCCTCTTCTTCTTCTTCGTCATCATCCTCCTCCTCCTTCTTCTTCTTCGTCATCATCCTCCTCCTCCTTCTTCTTCTTCTTCTTCTTCATCCTCGTCCTCTTCTTCTTCTTCATCCTCGTCCTCCTCTTCTTCATCGTCCTCGTCGTCGTCATCATCATCCTCTTCTTCTTCGTCATCATCATCCTCTTCTTCGTCTTCTTTTTGTCTTCCTCTTGCAGGTCAGTGCTCATGCGCAGATTTTTTTATCGGTAAAAAATCGGCCCGATTAGCCCATTATTGCCGCGAAAATTGGCCGATCGGCAAAATCGGCCGATTTTTTTTTTTCCAACTTTACCGATTAAAAAAAATGGCCAAAATACCGAAAAACGGCCAAACAAATAGCCCACTAACGATCTGAAAATCGGCCGATTTTCGACCCATCTATGGCCTGCATAAGTGAAGGAATCACTCAATTCTGAGGAAAATATTTTGAAATCACCATGTACTCTGCAGTTCTAAAACAAACATCTGCATCAGATTACATCTGCTAATTAGTCTGCAGTTAAAAAAAAGAGTGCTTGCACACGTGGTGAGCTGTTGCACCAAGCTGATTGACATGAATTATGTCTCCAACACGAGAGATGTCATTTGAAACAAAGGAGCGGATTATAAAACTTCTTCAGCAAGGTAAATCATCACGGAATGTTGCAAAAGATGTTGGTTGTTCCCAGTCAGCTGTGTCTAAAATCTGGGCCAAGTACAAATCAAATGGGAAGGTTGTAAAAGGGAAGTGTACTGGTAAACCAAGAAAGACATCAAAGTGTCAAGAAAACTTAAACCAATATGCTTTGAAAACAGAAAATGTACAACAAAACAAATGAGGAACAATTGGGCAGAAACTGGAGTCAATGTCTTTGACTGAACTGTAAGACATCGCCTAAAGGAAATGGAATTTACATACAGAAAAGCCAAACGAAAACCATCATTAACACAAACAGAAAAAAACAAGGCTATGGTGGGCTAAACAAAAGCAATCATGGGCTGTGGATGACTGGATGAAAGTGACATTCAGTGATGAATCATGAATCTACATTGGTCAGGGTGATGATGCTGGAACTTTTGTTTGGTGCTGTACCAATGAAATGTATAAAGATGATTGCCTGAATAAAACATGCAAATTTCTACAATCATTGATGATATTGGGGTTGCATGTCAGGTAAAGGTACGGGGGGACATGACCATCATAAAATCTTAAATAAATGCACAAGTTTATATTGAGATTTTGGACACTTTTTCTAATTCCATAAATTGAAAAGATGTTTGGCGATGATGACATCATTTTCAGGATCATAAGGCATCTTGCTTTAGCTGTAAAAACTTTCCTTCAAGAAATACATCTAATGTAAATGGCAGGCCTGCAAATAGTCCGGACCTCAATCCAATAGAAAATCTATGGTGGAAATAAAAGAAAATGGTCCATGACAAGGCTCCAACCTGCAGAGCTGATCTGGCAACTGCAATAAGAGAAAGTTGGAGCCGGATTGATGAAGACTAAGTACAAGTGCTGCTTTGTAGTGTTTTTTTTTCATGATGCCATAATAATTTCCTCAGAATTGAGTGATTCAATATTTTTTTTTCCTCTGCTTGATCTGAAAAACAGATGCAATTGACTACAGTTTTTTCTTTTTAATTTTTTCAAGTGTTTCTTAAAGCCAGAAGGGTGGAATGTTAAATGAAAATTGTTTTGAGGCATGTCTGTGATTGTTTTTTTTTTTCCTACACAATTAAACAGCTGAATCAACATTTTGCAAGAGTGGTGATTCCATACTTTTTGCCAGGAGTTTAATACAAATGCAAACTTCCTGACACCACGATGGGATTTGGTTTCTTGAACAGGTGGTTCTCCAACTCTCTTGAACAATCAACATTTACACAATCCATGGTGATTGAAATTAGGGAGTCTATGCTGTGTGGATAACAATTCTGGGGTATAATCCTGAAACTCATTTGAAATGAACAAGTGGCTTGGATAAGCTACAAACTGTCCTCAGCATTACAAAACAAGCCCACAGTTGTATATGACTAACTATGGCTAGCTATACCATGATCTGATTAAATCAGAACCTTTACAGACATATGACCTGGAAGATTCATACAGCAAATAGAAATCATATAAATGGCAGGATTTCCTATACAGTATATTCTTGTCCCAGAATTGTGATAGAAACTGGAAGTCAAAGCACCAGCATGAAAGTCAAGCAACTAGAATTACAAGAACTACAAGTAGAACACAACATATTTGCCTGTCTGTACTGCTGCTTCTGTCTGTCTGGGCACAAACCCATACACATGCAAGTCACTGTATCATATCTATGGCTAGTCCATACGGTAACACAGAATACCTGTCTGCATGTATGTGTATGTTTGTGCTAGGTGATGGAGGTGAAGGTCTTTTGATAGTAAAATAATTTGTTAGCATCTGAACATTATCTAAATTCCACAAAGGTAACCATAAGCAGTAGATGGCAGTTGAACAAGCAGCAACTGTTTCAGTCTCTGGGTTCCTTTACTGGAATGGCCTCCTCAGATTGCCATTTATATTTAGCTTTTGGAGAAGGACATGGGGGCAGAGGTGCTGCTAGAAATCATGGGGCCCCACACAGCTGACCTAACAGCCCCCCTAAACCCCCAAATGTCAAAACAATATTTTCACACAAAATACATTAAAATCATTATTAGCAGGCATGTGAATGTAGGTGTATGGTCCCAAACACAGACAGTGTACATAAACTCCTCAGTCCCTTTCTCTTCAGCCTTAGCTGCACTGGACCATGAATGAACAGAACACACTATGTGTAGAGACTCCTGTTCATTCATAAACTGAAGCACAGTAAACACAGTTTACTATGCATCAGTTATGAATGAACACAATGAGTGATCAGTACCCATCACTCATTGTGGTCATTCAGGAAAGGAAGGTGAGGATAACTATGACATATAAACAGTACCCGCCCCTTCCCCCACTCTCCATCCTGAAAAATCCCCCTGTATGGGGAAAGAGGATAGTGCACAGGGAGGGTGATTGGTGGGGCAGGATTACTGGAACTGATTCCCTTTACAGCTCTCTCTGTAGCAGCTGAAAGCTGGGTGGAGGGAGAGGAGGAGCCATAGAGAGAGAGCCATAAAAGGGATTGGTTCCAGTAATTGTCCCCCCCGCCCCCATCACCCTCCTTACCCACATCTAATTCCCCCTGCTGCCTGGGTCCCCCTGCTGGCCCAGGCTCCATACAAGAGGACTGGTGGTACCCCCTTATCAGCAGCCCTGCATGGGGGTGAGTAGTAGATGCCTCAGACACTTGTTCACATGTGGGAAAATTATAACAGTAGGAAAGGTGGTCTTTTAACTATTGGCTATGACTCCATGAATCTCAGAAAGTAGTGACTGCGAGTCCACCCCCCCCCTTTCCGTAGACATTAGACCATCTCTTTATTTAAAGTGTCTAGGGCTGTAGGCTTAGGGGGACAGCACCAGGTTTCAAAATTTACAATCATCTGGATATTTATTGCTAAGTTCCGCAGGTGAAGTAGAAGTAATAAGGTGTATGGCATGCAAAGAAGTCAAAAGCCTCTTTATTTCTCAGGAAACTTGAAACCATCTCTCCTTCCTATTGTTTAGATGTAAGTACAATCAAAAACTAGTACTGTGTATGAAGGAAAGCACAAGCTCCTTTCAATAGCAAGATCTATCATTAGTTTTTTTTACGAAATTAAGAGACAAGTGACACAAGGGACTGTTTTTGTACAAAAGAGTGCCATCATTCAGTGTACCTAAGGCAGCATGATGACATCCATCTGAGCTACTGGAGCTCTGAACCTGACCACATTTACCTGACACCTGACAGCATAGATGGATGAAAGAACAGAGAGAATTGTAGGAAATATTTTTCATAACACTAGAAAATCTCCCTGTGAGATAACCATACCTCTAAATACCAGCAGCATTGGAATCATCCCCTTGGTAGTAAGGAAGAGCTTGGTTATTACGAATTGCAAGCAGTGTTCAAAGATGGGGACATTGATTGCAGTCATCGGGCCATTTATGGCTACACCATGTTGCATTTTGGGGTTTTTTTAAACGTTAATCTTTTTCTTTTATTGAAAATGTTGTCTAACAAACCCTCAAAATCTCTGACAATGTGGTATCAGTATTATTAAATTTCATTGTCCACCAGGCAGTCTGATGAAAACTGACTTGATGTCACAAAGAAGTATCGCTTAGTTGTGCTATGATTAGTGACAAGCCAAAATTCAGTGGAGCGAAATTAAGTGTTCCAGGAAACTGGTACTGACAGCTTGAACAAGACAACTTACTTTATCATAACACCGCAAATTGAATCTCATAACTCATATCGTGAGGTTAAGGAAAATCAGCTATGATTGCCTTATTTAAATTGTAAGCCGCTAAACAACTGGGCAAGAAATCAGCGATTCACATTTAATCAAATCCTCTTTTTACAGCTTCACATTTTCTGCAAGATTTCTTGAAAGTCAGAGATCTTAAAAACCAACTTGAATAGTTCAGCTGCATACACAAGTTACCCAACAATATAGTTTCAAAATATAAAAGGATTGCAGTGCAGGTAATCTGGGAAAATCATATTAATAAAACAGAGATTTATCATCTGATATCATTTAACTCCAGAACTCCGGTAAGAAGAATGAAATCAGCTACTTACTGCCAGCAGCACCAATCCCTGCAGCAATGTAAACAGAAACGACCCCCTATGGGACTTTAATGCAGCAGACATACTGTCACATATATATTCATAAATAACTTTTTTTTTTTTTTACTCATATACTTTATTGTAAAAAAACTTAATAAAAATACATTTATATTTAAAAACACACTAGCTCTGATGACAATTCCAGGGATATATTCCCTTTTTAAGATTGCAACAATACAACATTCCAAAATTAAACTGACGCGTTTTGATCATTTCACTTTATGTCTGCTTCAGGATGCATAAGAGCAGGAGGAATCTAAAAAAGTTAAACGGTTAATGTTGATCAGATATAACGAGGATCCTCCTGCGCTTAAAATGGAGTCCTAACCTCAAAGCTGCTGACACTAACCTTATACCCAATAAGTGAATGAACCAATAAATGACACAGTGCAGCGCTAACAAAACTAAATAATAAATAAATAAATAAATAGTGATCATATAAACCACTTAGTGCATAATATTCAATCCCCTTAATATCCACATCAGGGAGATCCACATATAAATAAATATAAGTGTATATTAATATATAAATGATTGTGTAACACGTGAATCCCCACTCACTGGGAATATACAGTGCACATAGTGAAATGTTAACCGTACACACAATACTGTGAAATAACACAAAAAAAATGTGCAGAACAACTGTAGACAAATGGTTATAAATAGTCCCAAAAATAACAACACATATAGTGGTACTCCAACTTCACTCTCATGCAGTTGTAGTGCTGTGTGGGAGATTCACAAGCGACAATCCTCCAATAGCCAGAATGCCCCCTCACCTCCTTACTTAGACCCCAAAGGGCCAGCTCGCTTTGGGGATCAACCGATCCTACAAGGACAGACTCCTCCCAGGGTTCCCCTCAATGGTGGCATGCGTCTCCAGCCTTCAACCAACTAGCAGCCAGCTCCTCCCAGGATCATAGTAAAATACAAACAGAGACCCTCCATAGTGAAACCTGGGATGAACTGTCTTTCCAGTGTCCTTGTGAAATATTTACATTGCTTCCTCTTACAGGCTTTAGGTTAAATGTGTACAAGAAAGCCTGTAAGAGGCAATATTACTACCTAGTCCCATCTACCATCAAAGCAGATGGAACATGTAGTGCCTGCGATTCCTAATCCCTCACTGCTCTGCAGTTCAGCAGCATTTTCTGCCTCAGGTCTGCATGAGCCTGAGGCTGGGGGAACAATTTGCATTGCGCATTACACATGAGACACACTGATTAAAGGTGCAATACCCTGCAGGCTACATTGCAAAAAAAATGTAAACCCACACTGATTATGAGATCAATGTTTCTGCATTTACTACTTTTTGCCACATGTAGACTGTGCCTTTAACATTACTAAAATGTATGTTAAAAAGAGTTTTTTTTTTTGTTTTGGAGTCTGTATACCCGCTGAGGATATTCCCCCTTATTTGTGGTACTGCTAACTATTGTCTCTGGTACAAAAAAATGATGGGAGTTGTCACAGGAAAAGGAGAAGTAGGAAGATCATCCAGTAGAAAACCTGCTCTGGTGACATCTGTCTAAGATGAGCTATCCCCTCACTTTGAAAAGATGTCTTCTTACTTTCTGTTATATATCTGGAACAGAAAGTGAAGGGGCAAATATTTCAATCCTTAAATTAATCAATTAATTTATAAATTTGATTTTGGGTCTTAAAAGAGAAGTATGGGTTTTAAAGTGCTACTCAACCCAGGACCCTGCATTCACTATATCTGGTCTCCCACAGTATACAGAACATGGAAATGCAATTATTTTAGTAAATTTAAACTGCTAAATACCTTTTCTCATCAGTATTATAGAGCAGTCTTGTGACTTCTATCAATGTCCAGCAGAGCACTGGTTAAAGCTTGTAGGAGGAGTTTTCTTTCTGCTGTAGGAGGATGTGAAACCCTTGACCCTCTGCCTGAACAGTGCTGATTGGCCCTGTGCTGATCACATACACTCTCCCAAGAAAAAAAAAAACCCCAATAGCAATACACACCAATCTGAGCATGTGCATGTGACTACGGAATCAGTCTGTATCAGGTGGTCATTTCAACAAGAGGAGTATAACAAACATGCTTTACTGCATATACAGACTGATTTTACTGTTGTGGGTTTAGTAACACTTTAATGGAAAAAAAAAAATTATGCTCATCGGTCCAGTGTTGCATCTGTCCTTCCACTGTTTCTAAGACTGAGAACTGAGGGATCAAAAGACTGCTGAATGCTCAGTTCTCAGCCTTCAATGAGCAAAGAGCCAGGGACTGTCAGTTTCTGCTCTGCCCCTCCAGCGCTTACTGGAGCACTAGGCTGTGGGGGGGGGGGGGTGGGGGAGCGGCTGGCTCAGTCTCCCAGGAGCTCGATCAGAGGCTGAGCTAGCTGGTCCAGACACCTGGGTGGATCCTGACCATATGGTTGGGATCTTTTCAGAACCAGCTCTGGACATCAGCCAACAGTGGACGTTAGCTGGCTCTCGGCTGAAAACAGGTCACACGAGTGAATGAACTGCACTCCTGTGATCCATAAGATTAGTATAGTTAAAAAAAACCCCTCTGACTATACTTTCCTTTAACAGCTTTAGCTCCGCCCCATAGCAGAAATGCTGCTACAAAGCAGTAGCTGTGTGCAAACTCACTCATATACTGTAGATGTGATTTTGCAGTTCCAAGTAGGGGGCACGAGCGAGGTGCACACGCGCCCTATCCGTGCCGCCATTTATGGCCTCGGCTGCCAATCACTGGGTCCTACCCGGTGATTACTCACTGGCGCCCTGTGATTGCTGAGGATCTCCGACGGGGGAAGAACTGTTAGTAAACAAAACAGTTCTCCCTGTTACCTCCTGCACACTGCTTTGCATGGCTGTGCACAGCACAGCCATGCAAAGCAGTGTGCTTACAGTGAAGCACAAACACAGAACATGATGTAAAACAGCACACAGTTAACCCTTTGATTGTCCCACATGTCAACCCCTTCGTGCCCAGTACTATCAGTACAGTGTCAGTGCGTTTTATTAGCACTGATCACTGTATTGGTGTCAATGGGGAAGTCACAAAATCAGTTCCCCCCAGTGTCAGAATGGCCACCACAGTCTAGCTATAAGTTGCTGATCGCCGCCATTACTAGTAAAAATTAAAAAAAAAAAGCCTAGTATATATACCGCCATTTGTAAACGCTATAACATTCACGTAAACCAATTAATTTACACATATTGGGATTTTGTTTTTCGCAAAGACATGTAGCAAAATACTTTTTGTCCTAAAGTTATGGTGAAATTTGATTTTTTTTTATTTTTTTACTGGACATGTTTAATAGCAAAAAGTAAAAAATATTTTTTTTTTTCTCAAAATTGTGTATTTTTTTTATAGCGCAAAAAATAAAAACCGCACAGGCAATCAAATACCACTGAAAGAAAGCTCTATTCATGGGGAAAAAAAGTACGTAAATGTAATTTGGGTGCAGCGTTGCATGACCGTGAAATTTTCATTTAAAGTAACACAGCACCGTAACACAAAAAATGGCCTGGCCAGGAAAGGGGGTAAATCCTCTGGAGGGCAATTCTATCCAAAACTAAAAAAAAAGGCTTGGCTTTACACTTTATAGGTATGCTCCTTCAAATTTTTGCAGGCATGTATCCATTGATTTGAAATAAAAATGTTTACATTTTGCTTGTTGTTAAAATAGAAATGACACATGGATAGAGAATTTAAAAACAACATTCAGTCCAATGGTGTACAGAGATAGAACACTGTCAGGGTTACATCTTTTATTCATAAAATACCTGATCCAGGAACCCTGGACATTACCTTCATGGCAGGATCAATCAGGTATTTTATAAATAAAAGCTGCAGATTTGAAAAAAAAGACTAAATACAAGGATACATTAATGGGTCTAAGATTATATGTTAATAATTGTGTTTATATATAATTAAAGGCTCAGAAAATATTATGTGTTTTTGTGATATGTTTTCAATATGGTAAAATAAACAGTTTGAATTTTTATGTAACTTAACTAGGTATTCTCAGTATTATTAACACTGAGGGATTTTCCTAATTAATATAAGGGATCTCTTTTCTTACTAGGTCACCAACCAGCTAACTGTATGGACAGGCTTCAGCTGACATCCGCAGAATTTTGTACATTCTGACTGGAGAGTTCAGTTGCATCTACTGTAACTGGCTCTTTTTTGTTCATTTCTAGTGTCCCCTGCATGATATGGCCTTTTAACAGTCTGGATAAAAAACTTTTGCTGATTAGAATTGGCTACCAGAGCAGATGACCAAATGTATAGCAATTTGTCTGCAGCTGAGATGCAGAATTGTTGGATGGCTCAATATATCAGGACAGCATTATGGGGTTGATTTACTAAAGCTGGAGAGTGCAAAATCTGGTGCAGCTCTGCATAAAAACCAATCAGCTTCCAGGTTTTATTGTCAAAGCTTAACTGAACAAGCTGAAGTTAGAAACTGATTGGGTACCATGCAGCTGCATCAGTTTTTGCATGCACCAACTTTAGTAAATCTACCCCTAAGTGTGAACCTTTTGAGTGAATCAGCTATCAGACTCAACACTGACAAATCTGCTGGTAAACCACCTTTTCTGCAGCAAAATAGTTTGTCCTATCCATTAAAACTGCTGTTTGTGTGTTAACTAATACAGTTGGAAGCCAGTGTTCATGGCTCGCTATAGTTCTACGATCATGGTTCAGTTACAATGGTATCACAATCATGGAATTCCTATTTGCCTCCTACCACAGGCTTGGATGTTCAACATATTGCTTATGGAAGTTGTTGCTTAACTGGAGACACAAAATACTTCCTGTCAGCTAGGATGTCACCATCTATTTCTAGAATGGTATCATAATTGGATTAGTGGAAAACAGTTTACCAAACACACAGGAAATATAATTACACTGGAAATATATTTGCAACTAGAAGGATTTTAGCAGGACAAATTGATTCACAGATCTGTTCTTGCCATAGAGGTTCGAACAGTATAATAGGTCTTATTAGGTATAACGCGTGACATAATTGTGTAGATGGTATCTGTGTATTTCATTTGGGGTACAGCATTTTTCATTACCTATGCCAGTTTTGACATTATTAGAGAGCAAGTCAGTCATTTTATGGAAAAATGACTTGCATTGCATTGTATCAATTTTTCAATTACTGACAACATAACACAAAATAATTCTTCTGTCGTCAAAGATTGCAACAGCAGTCAGGGTTTTCATTAAATCCTAACTACACTTTTGTTGAAAAAAAAATCCCCTCTGGGTAATCAATGCATATTTTGCAGAAAATTTAGCAAACTTTGTTACAGATTCCAATTTTTTTGTTGCTCTGAAGAAAAAGCGTCTTGTTCCGCTATGTCTTTTGGATGCTGGTTCTGAATGAGAGTGACTAATTAATTGTAATCAGCTGGTGCACTTGGAGTGCTCTGCTGAGAAATGCTACAGTGTCTGTGTTTCCTTTAGGTGTGGTTAAACGTTAGTTAGTAGGTCACCAAAATTCCATTTTTGTTGCAGAGAATGACCAAAATCTGACTTTTACCGTAGTACAGAGTTCTTCACACAAGGTGGAAATGACATTCTGGAAGCCTTCTGCATCTCAAATGTGTACAGAATGCCTTCAGGAGCCATACTGCATTACCTTTTTGGAAAAAACGGAGCTTCAGATTAAAAAGGAAAGGTAATTTTTAATAAATATTTTAATAATTACAATATGGCTTGTGTAGCAATTGTATATGCTATATTATATTTTTTGCGATATATTCTTACCACAAAAGTGGAGTTACCCTTTAAGTCAGTGAATAAGAAATGTGAGGTTCAACATTCACTTTTGTGCATTACTAGTCTATGGTGCTTTGCAGGCCATCTACTACCTGTTGGCCAAAGAAATCTTTGCCCTAAAAGTGAGGAACAATTTAATCCTGGAAGGAAGGATCTCAACAACAGCACTGACACTGGGCCTTGTGTAAGAAAAGTGACTGCAAATAAAATTGTTCAGTATCACACAGCATCTGTTCTGATTCCTACCATCATTTTTCAAGATGTATCTAATCATTATTGAACAATCATTCCACAGCGTTTGCCAATGGCAGAGTGGTTATGCTACAGTTGCACAAGTGGCCCCAATGGAGGTGCTTAAAGCACAGCTTTGGTCAAATTGTAAAATCATATATTAATTTCCACTTTTAATTATTTTTACTCCTATTAATTTTATTTCTTTGAATTCACTATGCTCACTATGCTCTATGAGTAGGCACTGCTGTGTCAGACATTTCACAGAGCCTGCCTTCTGAACAACAGAAGAGCAGAGAGGAGGAGATTCAGTAGGAGTCAGTACAGGAATCACAGCTTGCAGACAGCAAGGTACCATGGGATATGTAGTCATTAGAAATCAAAAGTAACACAGTAAACAGCAGAGAATAAGCTGCAAATCATGCAGGGTATCAGAAAGTTGTGGAAAGAGATGCCCAGCAGACAAGCAGCACTTACAACACAAAAGGAGATTTTTCGAATAAGCCTAACTACTTCCAGTCCAGGCCAATTCTGCCATTCCTCTTGTACATGTAACAAACATAATTTTTTCTGGAAAACGACTTAGAAGACCCCAAAACATTATAATATATATATATATATACACACACACACACACACACACACATATAGAGCAGAGGCCCTAGAGAATAAAATGGCGGGCATTGCATATTTGTCACACGATATTTGTGGTTTTTCAAATGCAAATTGTTTGGAAAAAATTCACTTTATTGGATTTTAATGCATAAAACACAATATAATACCCAATTGATTTATTGTTTGATTGACCATTCAGATGCTGCCTTCCGAACTGTCATCACTGCAAGGAGATTAAAGAAAGCTTTCTCTCCTTTCCTACCACTGAAACTAAGCATGGGATGCCTGCAGGGAGGTTTCCTGCACGTCATGACATCTGTGACAACCCTGGGTTCACGCAGAAGCAGTGGGGAAACCGCATGCGATCTGGACAGGAATTGCATTCCTGCTCAAATCGCATACTAATCTTTGCAGT